CTATCGAAAACAGACGTCTGCATTTACATGTCAAAATTCAAAGTGACTGAGTTAGAGTTATATCTAATATAAATTATCTCTGTATAGTAACGGAGTAAGAATCGGATGTGCATATATTCTATTTTATCTTCATTACAAGGATCGAAATTTATAAGTAATATTTTATAGGTAGACATACCAAGTCGGACTTGACATACTGAGTAAAAGTAGCCCGATATCCTTTTATGAGGAGAGATGAACGTAACGGACCAATGGGTGTTATAATTCACCATTACAGAGTAGTTGCAATCTCTAGTTTCAGTAACCATTGTAAATCGACACTTATTCTGTGTATACTTTTGGTGTCAATATTTTCTATATCGCCTTCTTTATAGGTAGTGTCTATAATCATACCACTTTACGTGCACTACCAAGTAGCAGACATTAATTTGAAAAATATGAGCTGGGATTTAATCTTGAGCTCAAGCAAGGTGTTCCATCTATTACCGCTTTTTAGTATAACTGTAACATCGTAATTATTATAACCGGACAGTCAGCACTCGTATCAAATTGAGTTTAATTGAGCAAACTGACATGGAGCGGAGAGAATTTTTAAACAACCCTCATTGAATATTCAGATAGAAAATAATATCCTTATAATGACCGGTACTAGTTAATTCGCATAGCTTTTTAAAAATTCGAAAGGCTACACGAACTAAGTCGTTTTCATTTAAGCTGTTTGTCGTCTACTCTTGAACGTGATCTACGCTTTATATTATAAAAAACTTTAAAAACATTTCTTCTGACTCGAGTCATTTTTATTTACTGATTTCATCTTAATAACGTGGCGGCTGATTATTATTATGATTATATGAATTTATAATTTGAGTACGCATGGGGGGTATCATATGTCCATGGTACTGCTTATGTCTATAGGCGACGGTGACCACTTTCCATCAGGTAGGTCGACAGCTTATTTGCCATTCTAAGTTGCATAAAAAATCCTACCCACCTTAACCTGGTGATACTTATAGACGTAGAATAACGTACTACTAATATTACACGTAATAAAAATTAAAACTGTTAGCAAATCGAGCAATTTTCGATTATATCAAACTGTTTGCGAGATACGATCCAAATCCAAATTATAAAAAAATAACGTTAGTGTGCCATAATCTCCATACTACCCGATGTGGGTTAACAAATATTGCGTTAGTTATTTTGAGTACTTATTATAGTAATTTACGCGGATATAATCCTAATTTACAAGTATTTTATTATCTGTGGTTAGAGCGGTTTATTAAAAAAATAATTACTTTTTTAAAGTCAACAGTGTGGCAAAGAAAATTGAATTGGTAAGTAATGTCAAACGTTATGACAACGTTAACTTACAACAGCTGCCCACACGACTACTGAAATGGTAAAATAAATATTACAATTTAAAGACTATATGCTAACAAGAAAATATAGGCAATAAGATCAATTATTCATCTGCCATTAGCAGCTGCTCATAATATGTTATTAGATTTATACTTAGGAATATAATTGAATGTCTCATAGTGTGTATTACACACACACTACATATTGGTTGTTCTTAAAATATTGTTTATGCGGCAAATTATATAAAGTAATAAAAAAAAAATGTTGAATCCATAAAGTAATCACTACTTTAAAAACCGATATTGCCTATACACTGACGAAACTAAAAAATGAATCTATGCAACCATTTACAAGTATAAATGCAATAAATTTAATTAATATTTACAGTGTTATAAAACTATATATATTATGCTTCTGTTAAAAATATCGATATGCATAGGAGATACCATAAAAGAGCTATTATTTTGAAATTTAATAAAGTGGTTGTATAGATTTTATACAAATGGTTTTATGTTCGAAGTGATGCATACCTGTTTAATTAGGCATTAAATTAACATCGTCACCTAGACCATTAAAATAATAATAATAATAAAAAATACCACTTATTTATCATAAATTGATATCTCATAATGTGTATTACACATACACTGTACTCGCGTATTACCTACACATGGGTTGTTTTTTGCAATGCTATTTATTCGACAAATAATCATCATATCAACCTTTGACTGTTCATTGCTGAACATAAACGCCCTTGGGGCGTTTGTCAGTAGTTGCCACGCTTGGCAGGTGGTTTAGCAACCGCAGTCAGGCTTTAGAGATGTTTTAAGAGGGACGTTGCTGTTCATCCCTCGTCTTCCTTTTGTCGGCTTTTACGATACTCACGGGAAAGGAAAGAGTAGCCTATTCTATGCCGGGACTACAAGGCTAGACAATCGACAAATAATAATAGAAAATAATTGCATTTTTGAAACCATAAATCACTACTTTATTTATGAGCTGCCACTGTCCATACATTGACGAAACTGGAAAATAAATCTATGCAACCATTTAGAAGTATAAACTCAATAAAATAAATTAATATTTATGGTGTTATAAAACTGTTTATAAAATGCTTCTGTTTGAATTATCGATATGGATAGATACAATACAAGAGCCAGCTATGTTATACTGTAATATTTAAAAATTTAATAAAGTGGTTGTGTAGATTTAATACAAACGGTTTTATGTTCGAAGTAACGCAGACCTATTTACTTGAATTAGGTATTATATTAACATCGCCACTTAGACCTTTACAAAAATAAAAACAAAAAAATAGCATTAAACTAAATTTTATTAAAATTTATTCATTAATTTTTGCACAGAAATTATCTAGTTACAGTTAGAGAAAAACTTTAATATTATGAATAATGAACATAAACTATTATAAACATAAAAAAAAATAGTTAAACTGTCTAACCGTTAATTTTTATTACTTAATATAGATAGACTATGTCTATTCGCGACCTTATACGCGTGGCTGTTGAAATATAATGTAATTATTTTATATCAAGAATTTCTAGACATTTTTTTCCTAACGTTATCATCCAATTAACTTCAAGACTTTTACTACACGACTTCATACAATTGAGATAACTCATGATTCGTACATTGACTTCGATAGAATGTATAACAAATTGATATAAATAAAAATTGTTCAATTAAGCAACGTAAAGATAATTTATTTACGTTAATTGACAAGTGAACGATATTATAATTGTTTTCTTTGAATCGACAAAAAATGTGGCGTAAAGTGGATACATAGGTAGGTACAAATGTGTTTATTGAACTTTAATACACCTAGACAGTGTAAAAAGCGAACTTAACACTACATTATCTAATAGTCAATCGTGGACAGGAATAATAGAAAATGTAATTGATGATGCAACGTTATGAACAAACAAATAGAGAAAATAGGGTATTTACATATGTATATACATATGTAATTTAACTACAGAATATATAACACAGTATGTATGTACTTACATGTGCTCTTACTAAATACGCACTAAACACGTATTGTATGAGATATTATCTTTACATATTTTAAAATAAAGTCGCTTCCCGCCGTCTGTTCGCTTAGATCTTTTAAACTACGCAATGGATTTTAATACAGTTTTTATCAATAGATAGAATTATTCTAGAGGAAGGTTTAATTGTATAGTTTTGTGTTAATTTTTTTAAATAATATGATGATAATTGTTTAAGATGTCACAAGAAATCAAGTCGATTGAGAGTTTATATTGAAAATGCTGAAAAATAATAAAATAATTTATATAAATTTTTTCGTCTTTATTAGAACTACAAAAAGTTAGCGTTGGCATTCTATATTATACAGATAGCTTTCTATAATCAATTTAATGTTTAAAAAAATTATATAAATTATATGGAGTTTAAAAAGCTATTTAAACAGATATATTAGTAAAATTATTAATCTTTACATATTGACACAACATTGTTTCTACATTGCTCCCATGCGAAGCCGGGCAGGTCGTTAGTAGTTTACTAAATTGTATAAAAAAAAAACTTTAGATGAACGGATAAACCACAACCAACCGCCGAGATATGGTGAAGTTTTTAAAGAGATAAATTAAATAAAAAAAATAATAATATGAAAATAATAATAAGACAGGGTTCTGTTTCAAATAAGAAAATTGGGCATATAAATAATATTAAATATTATTTTGGTTATATGAGAATGCTGACTATAAAAAAGCTTTGTCTAGTAATATATAGTCTAGTCTAAACATACCTACAAAGATTTTTTGATATATAATATATTAAATTTGCATGCCTAGAATTTTAAGACAATTAAGCAGATACAAAAAGTTCTGTGTCACATGACCTTTATTATTTCAAATGTCTGTTTAAAGAACATAAATATTTCATTTCATTTCAAGAATAATTTTCGCTCAAAAGTAACCATTCCACGTAAATTAAATTGTGTGTTTACTTTTAAAGAACCCTAAAACGCTACAAGCACTAACCGAAAGTCAAACATGTCTTTAGTATCAACCACAAACATGACTACGGTGTTGCCAGCGCAAAAACTTAATGAATATACACGGCAAATAAAACGGGAGTTAATTCAAAATGGACGGTACACGCTGGGGTCTAAATCTAAATTAAATTATTGCTTAATGTTACATTAAATTATTTCAAGTATAAAAAATAATGAATGCAAATAGCTATCTACCGGAAAGATGTTACATGCGTTGAACCATCAAATTAATTTCATTAAGAAATTTTACTCATATTTAATAATAGTAGTGCTCTGCGGCTTTGCTTGTGTCAATTAGAATCGAAATTCAGTACATAGAAAGATCTATCTATATATTAAATTTCATTGAAATCTTATCAGCCTTCTAAATATAAATATCTTTACAAACGTTCACAGTTGTTTATTGAGGAATTAGTAGGATCTATGCAAGTTTAGTTAAATAGTTCTTGAATAATTACGTGAAGTTAATTTTGGAACATTTCATTTTACAAAATCACCTCTTATTTGTTTTTGAAAAGTCATAAACTATCTTGTTTTATTTAATTTAAAAGTTTCTAATTATTTTCTTTTGTTTTTTTTTAAAGTAATTTCTGACACTTACCTTCTTAGGACGCCGCCTAGCAGGGACGCGTTGAGGCACTCAGGCGGCGATAACCGTCTCTGCACCTCAGCCACTGTGACCTTGTACTTGCTGGTGGAAGATAGTAGCGATAACCGCCCAGGAACCGAGCAGAATACGTCGTTTGGAGCACAGGAACCAGTTCCGCCTAGGCCATCTCGACCTTTCATTGCTGTAGTAAAAATATGGAATTAATATAGGAAGGTACCAGAGGGAGTGTTGCCTGTTTGGGTTATCTGACGCACTCATGTTTCTGATCCGATGTGGCAGTGAGATTACAGGGTATTGATGCATAATACTGTAATCCGGAGTGGGGGGAGGGGGGGAAGTAATTACTAGTAACGCGGACTACCAGTCTCATTGCTAGCAATACCTACCTACCTACCCTGTCAGGTTTGGCTCCACGTGATCCCCCTGGACACCCATAGTGCTAAATTCCGGGTGTATTCGTCACGATGGACTAATTGATTTGCCTTTTCATTTTCATCTATCAACCATCACTGGTGCCCCACAAGCGTATAGCGCATAACCTATAGCGCAGGCGGGGCTACCATTCCATTTTCACATATAACTAAAAAATACCGTAGTCCTCAGGTATGACAAAAAACAAAGATTCCATGTCTATGGTATTTATATCTTTAGACAAAAATTATATACTTTCTTATATGCAACTTAGAAAGACATTGAATAATAGAAGACTAGTGCATTTTATCTGTTTCTACAAAAATATAAAAAGACTATTCGATAAAAACAAAAACTTTTTATAAAAAAAATAGCTGATCTATTTAGAGGTGATAAATTGATCTGAATTATAAAACAGAAATATTATTAGATAAAATTCATTAAAAAAAATATTTGAGAACAATTCTGTTTTTAAAATATTTTTTGCACAAAGTTTGTAAAAAAAAAAAATAACTACATGATACATGTATAATAAATATGTATGTAGTGTACCTACTAAAAATATTGGTGATTACAAAATTCCCGGCTCCGAATACCAACAATGGCACTCTTAACAATCACTGCCACGCCCCAAACATGCTCTCAGCGTGATCACCATTCTCATTGTAATATTTCTCTATGGTAACCCTAATACAATAAACATTAGTGTGTCATTAGCTTTGCACCATACTGGCTATTTAACACCCTGCCTTTTGAAATTATAAAAAAAAAATCTCTCGGGTATTTATTAGCGGCCAATTATATAAAACTCAACGTTCGTTTTTTGACTTATGACGTATTTTTTTAAATTAAAATTATTTTCTATGAGTTGTTTCTGCAATTTCGTTGGCTTCAATTTCATTCATAAATTATTTTATAAAATGCATATATTTTACAAATTTAATGTAGCTTTTAAGCTTTCAAGAGCAAGCAACGCTTGTCAAGCGTGGTAATTAGGAGACACCCCTCGCCCCAAGTGGGAGGTCTATGCTCAGTAATGGACAATTACTGTCTGTCTGGCTGTATCATCATCATCATCATCATCAATGTTACAAAAATGTAAAGTGAGCACCTTATCATGTTAATTTTGATGTTACTGTACATTAACAACATTCAAATTGCATTCGGATCCCGACGATTCATTACCAAATACGAAACGCTATTCAAATATAGATTGATTGATCGATACTTTTATTTCATCCATACCGATTCATTCGGCCGTTGAATGAGATGGATTTTTTACAATCTACTTAGAAAAATCGATACACCTATCCGATAAGTACGGCATGAGGCCTAATTACAGTTTTATCGGTGCTGGGTCATCGGTGGAAGAATAAAAATCTTTGATAAGTTAATAATATATATTTATTTTATCAGTTCGATTCGAATGTGCTTCGTGCGATTTAAGATATAGTAAAACAGGTAATGGGTACCATCTGAAGATATGTTCCATGTTCAACATGGGCGGAGTATTTGAGGAATAAAATTATTTGCTATTTTATGTAGGTTTTTTTATTATGTTTGAGTTAGATGTCTTAAATAAATAAAAAATTGTGTGTTTTAATGTGTGTTAACGTTTAAACGATTGAATGGACTGGACTTAAAATTTGTATAAAGATAAATTTACATGCTGAATTACCTAATATGTAGAATACTTTTATCCTAAATTAGGGCAAAGTCTAGTTAGTACGTTTGCACTTTTTATTAAATATCATCCACGTGGTCGAATACAAGTAGGGAGACCAACATGAGAGAATTTTAATCTTTACAAAAATAGAATAGGACCCACATGGGACAGCTTCAAATATTGGAATTTGGAAGGGATTGTTAATAATGTGGACTAGCAGCCTCATTGCTAACAATAAACTCTGTCAGATCAACCTCCTCGCAGTCCCCTCTGGAAAGTATCGTGTTTAATTCCAGGTGAATTCATCACTATGGGCTAAGTGACCTAACTTCTCATCCTCATCTATCATCTCTCACTGGTGCCTCACCAGTTTATACCGACAGTGCAGACGGGGTAACCATTCTATTATCATCCATTAAAAATAAAAAAAAAAAACATCAAACTTTACAATTTAGTGTGGGACCAACACGGAACATTTTTTAATTAAAAAACAACGTCAAAGTAAACTTAGAATTGGCGAAAACATTGCTTACCAAATAACCTATAATGTACACGAATAAAAAAATAACCGAATAGAAAAACTTTTCCACTTTGAGAAAATAAAAAAAAAAACAGCGCTATCATAAGATCACGAGTAGATCTATATTAAAATTTTCCGCAGTGTCGGCGATTAACATCGTTTAATTATTTATAATGTGGCAGTCCTGTACAATTTCAACACTGATTAATTGACTCATTCATCTGATGTAAATAAAAAAGAACAAGTGCGTGTTGGGTACGCATTAACATAAGGTTCTGTAGTTATGTTCTCAGAGATAATTATAACGAGGAACGTGTATAATTTTAAAATACAAGCAATAAAACTAAATATATATTATAACAATATAAATTCAACATCATGACGAGGTTATAATAATAATTCATGATGTTGAATTTATATCGTTAATTCTGTTTAACTATTACAAACGAGATGTGTGGGGTTGGTGACAGACTAAAAAATTAATATGTTAACTTTTTTCCCTAGGAAGAGACGACTAAGGAAAATATGTAAAATAAAAAGATAGAAGAAAATTCAAAAGAAAATACTCTTCTTTTAATAGATAGTTTGTTATAGTACTATACGGTTACGGATTTATCATGAAAGTACGCTTTAGTTTGCTACTAGAACAATTTTAAACAACCATTCGGTAATATTGAAAATTATTTACACAATTGTTTTTAAAAATTGACAGATAATTCCGATGTTGCCATATTTGGGTATGATTTTGCTCTTTAAAGTAAATAATTACTTTCAAGAGTTAGTCAAACGACTACGGTACTCTAAACAGAAATTAAATTTAGACACTGATCTAAAATATATTTTTGCAAGAGCCACCTCTGTCATTGGGACATATAATATACTGTTTTGTATGGTTAGTTATTGCTTAATACAACATAAAAAAAATAGAAAGTTGATTTGGGTGTGTTATTTTATCAAATACATTTGCTACCTCATAAAATGCAATTAAATATTTTAGTGTCTTTTAAGCACTTAATCTTTTTATTATTCTCTATTAATTTGATTAATTAGTCGACTGGTATAAAGTATTTTAATTAATTAAATCAAATGCTTTATACCAGTTGTGCAACAATAATAATACACGGAATCTTATTAATATAATAAAATTATAACTAGATGATGTCCATATATGGAAGACATTAAAGAAAAAATAATATGAGGGATCTTACCCATGGATGCCAAAACAATAATATTTAGGAATTTTATTTGTTTGTTTGTAGGGTTCTTCCGGCATCATGTAAAAATTATTACACTAAATTGAATTAATTGAATTAAATTTATGCCGTTTTGTTCCTGAAGGTCTTAATTAAAATCTCTTATATATTTTATCCTAATACAGCATTAAGTGGTCTATAACATAGGTTTTATATTTTTGAAGTACACGCATATAATATAACGGACAAGAAGTTAGTAATTAAAAAGGTATAAGAAGATTAAAATATAATAAATAGATACTTACTTTTTAATAATGGAAGATCTGTCATGAAGCCACTAGTGTCGTCCATGCCTGTATTCTAGAAAAAAAAAAACAGAATAATATAGTCATAGATAGATTAATACTCCTACCTATCTACAGATATTATATTTGTAGTTCAACATGGCGGGTTTGTCATATATTCAATAAAAAAAAAATGTTATGGTATTTTTTTTTTTTATTGAATATTTATAATATTTGAATACTAAGCAAGTAATCACATAAATGTAGTGTTATATTATGAAATAAAAAAAAATGTAGAACAAAGATGTTACATAGAATTTATAGAAAAGGGCAAGAATTCCTACATTGTGATGCTTCGACGGGGTTTTTAATTTACTTAGCTTATTAAATTCCTATTGGATTGGCGGACATATTTCTTGAGGATATTGACCGTCGCCCGAAACTCGCGAGGGGCTATTGAAAGCAAAGTAATTGGCATTTTTGTAGTCAATATTTTTGATACACAAGCAGGCTCAGTACGAGAATTGTTTGGAAGTAGTTTAAGTTGAGCAACAAAAAATGTGGTCTCCCACATAGTATTGTTTTCTTGTCGGACTGTTTGTTTTACATTTTTTTTTTCTGTTTGTACCTATAGCATTTTTTATGCAATTTAAAAAAGCAAATAAGTTGAAGGATGAATAGCTAAAAACAACTCTACGGACGCCACAGAATACACTGTAAAGCCCATGGTATTCTTTATGTGTTTTTATTTCTAAGGACTAAGCTGATGGAATGAACGTATTACTTAATGATATGTGATAAAAAAATTATTTAATATATAAGGTGTGCACAAAAGTATGACTGGAAGAGATTGCATTAAAGATTAAACCGTCTCTTGTACTAATTGCTGTTAATCCTTTCTTTTTACGTATGCATTTTTTTTATCGGTATTAATACTATATTGTCAATAAATATTATATCTATCCTAATAGATATAATAAAGCGAGAGAGAGAGAGAGAGAGAGAGAGAGAGAGAGAGAGAAGAGTTTGTTTGTTTGTTTTGTTTTCAATCGATACAACATCGTAACCTTCAAGAAAAGAGCATATTCCTTTTTAAAAAGCCGGTAGCAAGTCTGCAATGCCTCAAGTATTGCAGGTGCTCGTAGTTACTTACAATCAGGTGAGCCGTATACTCATTTGCGTTCTGTGTTATAAAAAAAAAACACGCTAATCTCTAGAAGTACCTTTTTACTTAAAAAAACATTTTTTCATTTGATAGCTCTTTTCTTAATTAAGTTATACGCATCTATCTATCTATCTATTATAGTTTAACCGTGGTCATATCTACATCAGATATATAGGCGAAGTCGTAAGGTACAGCTAGTATAATAACAAATTCATAATGTGATAAGACCCTTCACTTCCATTATATTCATATGTAGTATAAATATTTAAATAGTGTATCTATGATCAGAGGCTTGGTCCACTCACCGGCGTTTCTTCAGCCGAGTGCAGTGCATGGTGTAATGCCAACTCATGCTGCTCTCTGGCACCATAGTCCGCTCGTCTCTCACCACCGCCATAGCTAAATCCGCCATGGGAGAGCTAAAAAAAAAGAAACACAAAATTAACAAACCGGTCAAGTGCACTTTTAACTCTAAGTAATTGTGAGTCTAACTTAGATTTTGCCCGTAAAATCGATAGCAGTAGTAGGTAACTTCCGAAGTAGGGGAGAAAGGGATTGTTAGTAATGGAGTTTGACAGCCCCATTGCTAGCACTAGGTCGACCTCCACGTGGTTCTCCTTGGAAACCATCGTGAACAATTATTGTTGAATTCGTCACGATGGGCTAACTGACCTATTTCATCCTCACCTATCATCCTTCACTGGTGCCCCGCCGGTGTATACCGATGGCGCGGGTGGGGTTACCATTCCATTATCATCCATAAAAAAAAAACTTCCGAAGTATGGCTTTGTGAATTTGGAAGAAAGGATAAAGTCACATCATCAAAGTTTCATTGTTTTATTTTGGTTGGGAACAATAATAATTCTTTTCAGATAGTGTTAAGATTCCTTACGCCGTCATAAAATACAGATTAGCTAAATTTTGTATAAAATTTGGAACGCAATCAGATTTTGAAGTTCAGGTATATGTAACGTTCATCTGTGGTGGTGTCGTTGCATGAAGTGCTATTTAAATAGATTATCATATTCTATTAAGTGATTAATCTTAATGAAATCATATCTTTATTTCCAAAAATCATATTACTTATGTTTGCTTTTTATTAGTAAAAATGTAGATTATATTTTTCGAAGAAGCTTCATCATTAAATATGTTGGGTACTGCAAAGTCTATGAGAAGTATAAAAATAAATCTGAGCTATTTTATATTTTCATAAATCGCGGTTCAATAACAAAATGACATCTAGTTTCCCCCCAAAAATCGGCCGCCATTGTGCGAAATAGCCGTTCACATGAACCGGAACATTACTAACGGCTAATCTGCTAGAGTGGTGTCGACGTATTGTTGGCTAAAAATATTATGACCTGAGGACGATATACTAAAAAAGAAAATATTGTTCGAAAATTCGAAATAAGAACATGGTAGCCGTTGGAAATTTCTAAAAGCAAGATATTTTTAAATTGTATCTATAGATTCAATTATTTCATATTATTACTAGATAGTTAGGAGTATCATATATTTTATATCTACATTGCATCACATGTTAATAAAATATATTTAATTTATAAATGTGAAAGTGAGTTTGTAATTTCTTGATGCCTCTGATCCAACCAATCATCATGACATTTTAGTATATACTCGAAGTATCTTTTGATAATTTAAGATTAATGTCATTACCTATTGTACTATCTCGATAATTTTCTTTTCTCATAGTAAAAAAGGACTATTACAAATATGTAAAAAAGCCAAATCGGTAATTTTTTTACATCACTGAGGTGGTAAACAAGCATACGGCTCGCCTTATGGTAAGCGGTTACTGTAGCTTTTGAACGTCTGGAATACCAGGGGTATTACGTGCACATTGCCGACCCTGAAGACACCTCTTTATTCCTTTTTTGAAACACCCATTTCTCATACGATGCTAACGAATAAACAATGAAATACCCTTGTTTGAGCCCTAATTGGGATGATTAGGTGAGTGTAGTAAATTAAAAATCTAAAATAAATTTTCCTTGAAACAAGTAGTTGCAATATTGACAGTCATATCTATTATATTTGCCTATTATTGTTATGTATAGGTGAAATAGTTTAGATCATAAAATCTGCTACAAATTTATTAACATAATTTTGCCGGCAAATCGCTAGGGTAGCGAACTATGCCGAGATTCTTTCGCGAGGGTGCGTAGAATAGTAAGGGTCCGTATAAAATAGTTTTACTTGCTGTTATATTTATGGATATGCCTACTCATCTTATAGTTAATTGAAAATAGATGTAATATTTTAGAACAAATATTTTGAGATATTTTTTTTAAGATTAATTAAAGTCATTGTTGAATTCGAAGGTTGAACTGTTGTTGTAGACATATAGACATATTACATATGGAGCTTTAGATGTACTATATGACATGTCTATAACTTTTTTTACCTGGATTGTAGTTATAATTATATTTACCTAAAACTTTATTCAGATTGGGGTTTATTTATTAAAATAAATACTAAAACTCCCTCAGAACATGGATCGATGAGCCTACGTTATTTGCTCGATGACATCACAGGAACGTAATCGTAATATACAGACTATTTTTGAAAAAGGAACAATAATTCGACACCCACCAATAGTAAATCATGAGACCGATCAATTTTCCTTAAGGAACAGCAGTGAACGTTGGATGGGTTGTTTGTTTTTGTAAGTTCTATTATACATTTATATTTGAAGTAAAAAAAAAACAGGTTTTAAATGAAAAATATATACAAAAAGTTTGTGACGATGTATTACTTACATGGTGCGCATGTATGGCGTCGTGGTGGTCACGATGGTGCCGTAGGTGGGCATGAGGTTCGTGGTGACCGTGGTGGCGTGGAAGTAGCTGCTGTGGCGCGTAATGCTGGGCGTACTCCGCGCCGCCGCCGCCGCCACCGCCATAATCCATGCCATGGCTCTATGGAATTAACAAATGGTAATAAATTATGTGGAAATTTCGCTAGCCCTGTAATGTCAATCGACATCAGGTAATGGGGTTATAATGAAAGTAAATTTACCAGAAAAAAATGTTATGCAAAGTTGACTACACTCCAAATCTTGAAGAAACCTCAGCATGTCTTCGAGATTTAATATGACGCAGCGTCCCTCTTTAAACATCACCAAGCTTAACTACGGTTGCCATCCCGCCTGTCAAGCGTGGCAACTACTGGTAATATCCTTCAAAAAGGAGAGGCCTACGTTCAGTAGTGGACAGTAAACGACTGAATTGGTGTGATATGATGCAGGGAGCTTATTGCACAACCTAAGAGTTATAGGAAAAAAATCTCTGAAACTTTTTTTTTACACAACTTAGCAATGGCAAAAAGTTGACGGCCCATCTGATGGAAAGTGGTAACCATCGCCTATAGATATGAGCAGTACCATGGACATAACAGAATATACTGTTTCGCTCATGACAGCCCCCCATGCGTTGCCCTTCTTGAGGACTCAGGTGTTATTCCTCTGTACCTATACTATACACGATCATTTAGGATTTAGGGTGTAAGTGTGCGCTGATTGTGAGAAATATAATGGTTAAAAGTTGGTGAAAGATGGCTTCACAACTGTTAGGTCTCGTTACTAACAACGTCTGCTGGAAAAGCAGGGTAAGGAGCAGATGCAAATGGCAATGGAAAACATTGTGTTTTGCGTGGAAGTGAGTGACAACTTCTCGTCTCCTAGTGCCCGAAGTAAAGTGCTGGTTATGTTACCTGTTGCTGATGATGTGGACTAGCAGGATGAGGTGCAGGCGCGAACGGCGGCGGGAAGTACGGTGGCTGGAAGTCGGCGAGGGACGGCTGCGCGCCTCCCCTGAACCCGCCTCCACCGAGGCCCAGCCCACCGCCGCCGAGACGCTCCTGCAACAAGAAATGATGGATTCAAAATATTTTAGTGTTTACTATCCCTATTGAAGTCGTTAGGGGGGAGAAGGGATTGGTAGTAATGGGAATTAACAATTTTAGTGCTAGCAATATCGACCAAACAAATCGACCACCACGCGGTCCCCCCTGGAAAATATCGTAACTGATTTATTATTGAATTAGTCATGACAGGCCAACTAATCTGCTTCATCCTCACCTATCATCCCTCCCTGATGCCCCGCCAGCATATACCGATAGCACGGGGGGCTACTATTCCATTGACATCTAATAAAAAAAATGGAATAAGTCAATTGTGGTTGTGGATAAAGTAACACTCCACATGTCTATACTTCGTCGAGCATATTAGAATTTAACGTAAGAAGGTGAGCCTACTGGCGAGTCTTGGGTTTGTTATCAGTATTTTCTCCTATTAAAAGAGTTATTTTGTATCGACTAGATTGGTACTCGTGACCTTTGCGGTCTGTGTACCGCTGGGTCACAATGCCATCAATATAACAAAAACTATCATAGATAAAGATATGCACAAAAGAAGAGCTAGTTTTTGTTTTAGTATCAAAATATTGAATTTAATTATTGAACACCAGAGATGTCTAAGCACATTGTGAATTCTTGAATTAGCAATTATTATTGACTATTGTGAACTCACGTCCATTATTTTAATATTCATTGTATTAGATAGACCAAGTTGTAGAAGTGACGCAGTTATTGTGTACTATGTTTTAATTTGAATTATAAAAAGAAGGACCTCCTCCATTCTATCCGATTATAAATCGATTAATATTATAATATAATCGATTATTACTGTTACTGGGGTTAAGAAGCTATTTCTTTAAATCTATTTAAATGAATCTAATATATCTAATTGATAGTTTCACAAAATTACTATTTTATAGATCATCATAAACTATATTTATAATAATTTTGAGTCAAATCTGTTAGAAATTTAGTTCCTATTGGTCCTTAGAATAAAGACTTCGCTGAGATATCAAATTAAAACTAATCTTAGAGATAGGTTTCGAAAAATACCTCAGAATTGTCAAGTTTTTTGAATATTTTTTTTTATCAAAGCCTTCCCCTAGGGGGATTTTGCCAGTAGTTGCCACGTTTGGCAGGCGGACTGGCAATCGCAGTTAGACCTTGGAGATGTTTTAAGAGGGACGCTGCTGCCTATCACTTGCCTTCCCTAAGTCGAGGGAAAGGAAGAGGTGGCGTTTTTTATGTCGGGACCATACGTCAAGTTTTTGATAAACTTTGTAATTGTAATTAATAATGTCGTGTAATTTTATATACCTTATTATATATTTTATAAAGGAATTTGTACACCGATAGATATATAGATAAAGCATAATTAATCTTGCTATCATCATGTGTGAAGAACACAGTTTTGTACAAGAATACATTCACTAATTACAACGTAATCAACTAATTATCTAGTCACAAATTGGAGATACGGCAATTGACACGCACAAAGTGACCATTGTATATTACAAATTAAACGTCAATTTGGATAGAAAGAAGTATATAGGGTTGTCTATAATGATAAAGAAATTTTAAAGGATATAATAAAAAAAAAATGATATTTATTGAATAACTAGCTGACTTGGCAAACGTTGTTTTACAATATACATATTTCGAGAACTATACATGAAAATTTCTCGTACTACAATTTATTAAAATCGATTGCCATCTTGCAACCCTATTGCGGTATATAAAAATCGCGATTAAAAAACAGAGGTTGATCTTAAAAGCGTGAAAATTTAAATTTGTATGTATTTTTCAATATTAAATCATAATAAAATAAATATAAAAAAATTCTCAGAAAAAGACGTTTCTAAAAATAATTAATCGAACTTCTCCGTATACAGACCTTTGTTAGTGGGTTTGGATTGTTACTATTGCTCCCATTGCTAACAATATACCCCATCAGGTGGACCCCGATGTGATCCCCATTGGAAACCCTCATGGTTAAATCCTGGTGAAATCGTTACGATGGTCTTACTTATGCCTCCTCACCTGTCATTCTTTCTATTACCTCACCCGCATATCTATCGTTGGCGCAGGCTTGGTTACCATTCCATTATCATCTATAAAAAAAAACTCATTTGTTTATGGAGTGATGTTGCTGTCAGTTTTTTTTTATATGTATTTAGATAGCAACCCTGAATAGCTGACTTAGTTATCGACTTAATTATGAAATAGATAAGCATCTAATAGGTACATCGTAATGATATTCCAGCGATCGGTTGGACACGCAAACTCTGAATTAGTTCATACTTGTATTCGAGATGTCTGCGCAGTAATATATTTCAAATTACGAGATTTGATTGCTTTGTGTTTTTATTTCTGACTATTATGTTTTTAGTATGCAGATTGAATTAGAAATAAGCGTCAAATAAAAGAACTGCTCACGTGTTCGTTTTTGTTTATGATTTAAAACAATAATTACATCAATGTGTTTATTTCAGCGAAATTACACAATGAAAGTTTTATACTGTTGTTTTGCTCAGATTAAAAAAAAAACTTGTTTGAATATGGAATTTGTATAAAGCGCCTTAAGAGAGAACGTTTAAGAACTCTTTGTTAAAGGTACAATCCCAAATAATTAAAAATCAAACAAAACGAAATGTAAGGACGAGTTTGATTTTTAATATTAAAAAGATTTTTTTTTAAATATAATTTTTTTAGAATAATTATTTTAGTATCATGTACAATAATAATATCACAAGATATTACAGGATATTTTGAAATCCTAATAATTGCCCGACGAAAATCGTTTTATTTACAAGCTATTTATATGATTCTATTGCAGGGTTCGGAACGTTGTTAGCTAATAAGCTGAAGGAACTTAGCTAATGCTAGTCATAGTTTGTTTGTTTTCATAACTATTATAAAATGGTATAATAATTTACGGGTACTCACAAAAATTATATAAGTAATTTCAATAAATCTTACTTGAAATGTAGTTCAACGAATATCGAGATATCGAGTCGTCACACCGGACAACTAATCGATTACACTCGATCTAGTTTAATTTTTTTTTCTTAATTTATGCTCACATTGCCGGATGTGCGGTGAAAACTGGACGCGTTGACATGTGTTGTTGCTTAATTGATGTATGTATGTAGTGTAATGGCAGCAAAGAACACACAACAGATAAAAAATAAAATGATTGTCTGTTGTGGGTGTTGTTTAAAAATGGAATTCGAATAGGTTTCAATCAAATTCTAATTATTTCTATGCAATACATTTAACCTTAAACCAAGCGTAGGAAGTTTTAAATGAATAGGCAACATGAATATACAGAATTAAAAAAAGAAGAAAAACAGTTCTTTTTTATAATTTTGGTTTAAAAACTAAATATTCTATATTTGAATCAACATACAGATAATCAACCAACAATTTAATATAATAATAAATTAAAAAAATTAGAATTTGTTTCACCTAACACAACACGCATACACATATGGTAACATAGCGTTAGCAATAATTTAAAATCAAATCTCACTCGAGTCCTTACTGATATTATAAATATAAAAGTGAGTTTGTTTGTTTCCTTATAGCACCTTGATAGCTTAATCAATCACTATGAAATTTGGTATACAAAGTACTATATGGGACAGAGAATGATATAGGGTGCTTTTTATCCTAGTCACGCGGTTGAAGTCGCGAGTAAAAGCTAGTAACAAAATAAATCTTATTATTGTATTCGTAAGTCATAATATTACACGATGATAAATACATTTATGTGTATTCAAATAGAGGTAATATAGATATTTCAATAAATAATGCACTGCAACCTTTGCACTCGGGTGCCATAGGTCATATTAAGCATCCTCGACTAGTTGCTCTATTATTACCCACTTTTTTACTTCATTATTGTAATATTGAGTTTTTTTTTTTATAATCTTACCTTTAAAAAGAAAGTTTTCAATTCGGTTGTATTTTTTTTAAACCGATTTGGATTTTTTTTTAAATGAAAATTATGCGTAACGAAATTAATTTTGTGTCGCCGTGATTTGACCGGGCTCCGCGCCTCGCATCCGAGCTGAAGGGGTCCGAAAGTTTAGGTAATGTATCAATGTTTATGTACTTGTGTATGCTATATATATGCCTACAGAAAAATGTATGATGGCATAGAATTAAACTCAAAAACTACTCAACCAATTTTACCGAAAGCTACATCTCCTCGGACATAGGCTATTTTGTATTTTCTGTAAAGAACCCGTACGAAGCGGGGGCGGGTCGCTAGTTAGAAATAATATTCAGTTTCTATGATAGAATATTCCTAAAAAGAATGCAAAAGATTTTGATTTTATATTCTGTATTATTATCCTTACTAATATTATATATATGAAAGTGAGTTTGTTTGTTTGTCAACCAATACTCATAAAATAAATGTCGTATGTGGGATTAAGACGAACGTAGGCTGCTTTTTATCCAAGTCCATCAACATATCCCGGTCATGTGGACGAAGTGGCAGGTAAAAATAGTTTAAGATAATATTATAAAGGAGAAAGCTTTGATTTTTTTTGTAAGAAATAAAAAAAAAATCGTCAATCGTTTATAAATTCCTATCACTCACAGAAAACACACTATCAACAAGTTACGTAGCAATTATATTTTGTATTTAAAGAAACCGTGCGAAGCCGGGGCGGATAGCTAGTAATGATTATATATTGATTCTAAATTGCTACCAGTAACAAAAATGTAATACATCCGCAGTTGTACAAACATAAAAAGTCTAACAACGGTACACGTCACCTTCAAAAACGTGATGTCGCAAGAGTCAGTTGTCCGAATGATTTACTATCGGCTGTTTGTCGACTTACTGCGGCACAATCATAAAAAAAAAATATAAAGAAAATAAAATAAGAAATCTGTGATAAACCATCTGGTCGTATAATAAAATAATATACTCTTTGTATCAGTTTAGAGTAGATTTTAGACTCGTACAGTCAAATAATTTACTCCTTATA